CAACAGCTGTCAACTATACAGGTGTCGTACAACAGCCGTCAACTATACAGGTGTCGTACAACAGCCGTCAACTATACAGGTGCCGTACAACAGCCGTCAACTATACAGGTGTCGTACAACAACAGCCGTCAACTATACAGGTGTCGTACAACAGCTGTCAACTATACAGGTGTCGTACAACAGCCGTCAACTATACAGGTGTCGTACAACAGCCGTCAACTATACAGGTGTCGTACAACAGCCGTCAACTATACAGGTGCCGTACAACAGCCGTCAACTATACAGATGTCGTACAACAGCCGTCAACTATACAGATGCCGTACAACAGCCGTCAACTATACAGATGTCGTACAACAGCCGTCAACTATACAGGTGTCGTACAACAGTAGAGGGCGTCCATAGGCAGCAGGCCTGAATAAGCATCGAACAGAAATTAATTAAAAATAGTCGCATCGTCGCATAAACAACAGTACACGCGTCCTTCACGCGTCCTTGACCGTATAGAAGCAAGTTAGGGAGGACGTTGATGCCAGTGAAGAGAGAGAATAGAGTAGTGAAGATAGAGAGAGAGAGAGAGAGAGGGGGGCGAAACAACATGAACCGGAGAATGACGAGGGAATACTGTTGTACGACATCAAATGATAAACCGCACGTAGAGAAATATTCGGTTGAAAGGACAGTTTTGTTCTATTATTTATCACGTCTATTTTAGCGTTATTTATATTTATTAGGTTTGGGATTTTTAGTTTGCTCTGTGACATAGGGAGGGAGGGAGAGAAGGGGGTGGCGGCTCAATGCTGGCCCCACAGGCTGCGGCACATTTCTCATAGCAAACTAGTCCCGCTGAATGTACGCTCTCTACTTTAAACGTATAAGTTCAATAAATATTTATTATTACATAGACCGGGAGTACTTGAACGAGCATCTAACTACACTACATACACCATACTACATCCCATAATTACAAGCATACACTACATCACATAATTTATATTTATTAAAGTGACGTAGTGGTAAAGACTCATGTCAAACTACGGAACAGTACTTGCTCTCCATTTTAACTATTTAATTTCAATAGAATGTAATTTTTAAAATGTAATAACGAACACCCTCCGCCATTCCCCGTTATGTCACAGTATATAGAAACTCAGGAAGGCAGTTCGCATTGTAATTATTAAAATCTGATCTTGTGATAGCGATAATAGACGTCAATTTCATTAAGTATGTGCTGATTACGTTAAAAGTATAATCCTTATTATACTTTTATAGTACTTAGTATAATTAATTAAACTTTAATTAATTAAAATTCGTTTTGCAAATATTGGCCATGCAAGATATACACGGCATGTTTCCTTCTAGTATTGGGTTTTTCACACAGTGTAGCAAGATTTAGCAACACGAGACATCTTGTGATGAATAAGAAGAGAGATTGGAATAGATATGTACAATATCACCCTAGCGACGAATATGTTCTCTCTCCCGCTCTCTCGTTCTCTTTCTC